CTAAAGCACCTACTTAGAACAAGCTTGGCAAAGCATCAGGGACCGCGGTTCAATCCCCCAGCACCACATGCCAGCCAGTCCCGCCCCCTGGTGGGCTGAGCTGGCCACACACACACATCACTCTCTCTCTCTCTCTCTCTCTCTCTCTCTCTCTCTCTCTCTCTTTCTCTCTCTCTCTCTCTGTCTCTCAAATAAATAAAAAATAAAAAAAAATAAAAAAAAATCTTGTTTAGGAGCCAAGGAAGCCAATAATCCTATGAAGTATTCAGAAAACAAAAGCAATTGCCCAATGCTGAATACCGTTTCCAGTGCCAACCTGTTGCTAATGACAATTAGCCCTGCCCCCCACCCACACATCTCAGGTGACCTCTGCTATTGTGAGGCATCCTGGAAGTCAGAAAGGGGTGGGAAGCTAGTGAGAGGCACATACAGAACAGATGCTGCGATCCAGCAGGGCAGACGTTTAGTTTGTTCAGGTCATTTATGGAATCCACGATGTACAGCTTTCCATCTTCGTGTATGCCACAAGAGCCAGGGTCCTGCAAAGAATGATTCATTGTTCCTGGAAGAAAACACTGACAATAAATAAGAGGCCGAGCTATGCGGCTCACCCAGAGCCAGAGCCACAGAAGCCAAAGGCAATTTCAGTGAAGGTCAGGTCTAGAAAAGCTCTGCCTGACCCGAAGAAAATATTTCCTTTGGTGGAAATGTCTGTAATTGTTCTTTTTGTTTTGCTAGTTGGGAGCCCAGAGTCTAATGTGTGGCCCACTTTTAAGAATTGCATAGCTGTTTAGAACCCACTTATGTGTATACGCTCTTTTCTCCTCAGACTTCTTAATTCTACTGCCTTTTCTCTGACTCTACTCTTTATTAACTGATTTAATTTTTTTCCACTTTGATCACACTTTGCACATAATGGTAGATGTCCCAAATCCTGTGCGCAAGATTGGTGTAACCAGGACAAAATTAAGAGAGTCAGCCCTTGGCCCTAAAGATTCAAAATGAAGAAAACATTACTGGGAGCTACTGTAATGGCAGGAGGTTTTTAATGCACGCTGTACTTTACATTCTCCAATATGGCATGTGTTCTTAGCCGCACATGTACTCTTTAGCCATGTCGGCTGGTACTGAAGCAACTTTAATGTCGTAGAGAGGACTCCTGCCTGGCACCAGGATCTGAGGTCTTCCACCTGGTTCCCTTAGACTGAGGTCATTTATGCAATAAGCATCTTACGTTGAGGTTTGCATTTAAGGTAATACTGTCTCATGACAGGAAAACATCAGCACTAAAAAGCCTGAATGCATTTTTTAAAAAGGCCCATGGCAAGATGTCTGTCTGATACAACAGAGATCTTGTGGCCACTTACTTATGTAAAAAGCACGTTCTAGAAAGAAAAATTCCATGATTTAAAAAGCTTTTACAAGATCATCTCTTTTCATAAAGAGGATAGTCACCACATTGGGTTTGTTGTTGTTATTCTGTAAAGGATTTTAGCTACTGTTATGACTTATATCAAAAATGTCCCCCCAAATTCTCATGTGTGCAGGAATATAGCGAATCGCAGGGTGCTGTACTCCCAGGGAGTCCTCATGCCTTGCTGCGTTCAGAGTGGAGGTGCTCTCAGGGGGCAGGTCTGGATGGAGGTCCTGGCACGAGCAGGGCTGCGTTCTTGCCCCAGCTCTTCCCTTCTGCTGCTCATCGGCCTGCCACGGGCTGAGCCCCTTGCCACGCACAGCTCACCATACACCAGCAGGCAAAAGAAATCTCTCCTTCTTCAAGTTGTAGGTGTCGGGTATTTTGTTCCAGCAAGGAGAAAGCACCTAAGACAGCCCAGCTGGAGTGCCACCGTCTCCACTAGTGAAGGAGGACACTGCCGGCCAACACCCCAGATCAGGCAGGTAGCTGGTCGCAAAGCCAAACTGTCCATCCTGTCTTCCCTGTAGTGTCTCTTCTCCATACACCGCCTCAAGCTTCTCTCCAGACTCAATGCAAACATAATTCTCCTGAAAGCCAACCTCCTTCTTTCATGCTATTGCTAGATAATACATATATATATATATATATATATATATAGTGTGTGTGTGTGTGTGTGTGTGTGTGTGTGTGTGTGTGTGTGGTGTGCCAGAGATTGAACTCAGGACCTTGAGCTTGCCAGGCAGGTGCTTAAGCCACTGAGCTATCTCCCCAGCCTTAATGCTGTATATTCTTATTCTATCAGGACAGCTATTGCATTTATTTGCTTACATCTCGGACTTCCTTAGTAAGCCAAAAACTTTTAGGGTAAGGAACAATTCTACTCAATGTCCAGTATCCGATTTAGAAGTCAGGCACTCAGTAAATTGGAACCTCTAAATTATTATTTATTTTTTTCTTTTTTTGTTTTTTCGATGGTACCAGGGATTGAACTCAGGACCCTCCGCTTGCCAGGCAAACACAGTCCACTGAGCTATCTCGTCTGGCCACTTCTAAATTACTTACTTGGGATTGAAGCCTATTTTTTTGCAAGAATTTGAGGCAGTTAATAATACATATACTAACAGAAGAAGATTGAGGGTAAAAACTCCCCAGGTAACATTTACTTGAACTCAACTGAGGTCAAGGCAATAAACACGGTACCTGGCGGGAAACGGCAACACACAACTTCTGTTAGCATCTTTTAAAGGGCTCTTCCATACCAGCTATGGGCCTATGAGGACTATAATTAGTTAGGGGAAACTGAGTCGGGGGATAATACATCTACAGAAGATCTGAGAAAAAACAAACAAACAAAAAAAGGATCAGCCATTTATTAAGCATCTGAAACTCTCCTATAAACTACCGAACCTATTTTCCCATATTACCTACCACGTACTGGTACTCACGAAAATGTACTTCCTGAGACCCTAGCTAAAAACAAGTGAGATGTCAAAAATGTGTCAAAAATCATGGGCTAATTATAAAAAGTTTTTTCAGAGTTAGAATGTGTTTTGGTTATCCTGAAACTTTAACAGGAACACAATTCCCTGAGGGTATTTTTGTTTTGTTTTTTGTTTCTTTTTTTCCTCTTTGTGACAGGGTCTTGCCATGTAGTTCATTCAGGCTGGCCTTGAGCTCACGTTGTAGTCCAGGCTGGCCTGGAAGTCACAGCAATCCTCCTGCCTCAGCCTCCCAAGTGCTGGGATTACGGGCATGCGCCACCACGCCTTGCTCCCTGAGTATTTTAAGTTGTAGAGCACTTTAGATACGCACATTACTGAATCACAAAATATACTTCATGGAGCACTCCTAAGAGAACAAACAACTTGACATAATAAAATAAAAAAGCAAAAGCAGCAGAGCCAGCCAGAGTGAAATAGCCTTAGAAATAAATTCTTACTCCTTTACAGAAAAAGCCCCAGGCCCCAGTGTTTACTGAGGCATGCTCAGAGATTCCAAAACCACTCTTCGGGGCGTGTTTCATCGTCTCTTAGTGCACTGTTACCCCAGCCCCTAGTGTCCGACCAGGAAAAGAGCCTGTATGCATCATATCGCAGGCGCCTTATTCTCCACAAGGCCTGGTGACAGATCTGTGGTTCAGTTTGGTTATTTCTGACTTAATAGCCTAGAGCTTTAGTTAATGTCTCTGTCAGGAATGTAACTGTTATTGCTTACATTTGCTGAGGTTCAATCGCTATATAAATTATAGCTGAAAAGCAGACTTAATGGAAATGAAAAACAAAACAAAAAAAAAAACCCTTAAAATTATTGGCCTCCCACTTAGTCGAATGGTGACTGCAAAATACCTTAAGACAACAGTCTAGGGAAGGCTCTGAAGTGTTCTCAAAGAAAATTTCCTCTTTAGGATAAAGTCACGACGTTAGTACATGCTACTTCTATACACTTTGTAAAATCAACTCAACACACACACAGAAAATCAAGAACTAGCGGAGACAGCACACACCTGAGATACCAGCACTTGGGAGGCTGAGGCAGGACTGCTGCGAGTTTGAGGCCAGCCTGAGCTACAGAGTTCAAGGCCAGCCTCACCAGCATAGAGAAACCCTGTCTCAAAGACAGGAAGGAAAAAACAAAACAAAAAACCAGCAGAGAACAAACCTAGCTGAGCATGGCTCTCGGCTAGAGGCTGCTGCCAGCGGCTCCCCATGACTGCCAATAAGCGAAGCCAAGGTCACATGGCTGCAAAGCCAGGATTCCCAGCTGCCTGATACCCAGTGGCTGCTATCTTTGGCAACTCCAAATGAGGTCATCTGGGGGTAACCAACAAAACTGCATCGACTGGGGAAAGCAGTCCCCGCAATTCTGTATCACACTAACTCCACTTCTTCCCTAACTCCTCCTCTTCCCTAACTCCACCTCTTCCCTAACTCCACCTGTTCCCTAACTTCACCGCACAAATCTGCTTATTCACCAAGATTGGCCAGAGCAGCATTCGCCAACAGTCCTTTCTCATGCCTTCCACGGAAACACATAATTTCATTTTCTCCTGGCTTAAGGCACCACTAATAGCTGATGTTTTTTGTCATTTAAGAATTCTTTGACTACCTACAAGTATTCTGATAAATGCAGTTGTCTACAAAAAACAATTTGTACCTCATCTTTTCTCCCTGAAGGTGTCTGGTGTCAACCCACAAAAATAACTCACATCAACAGTGCTTGTCACAAATCAGAACTGTTACCCTGGGCTTAATTCAAAGCTAATAAGGTTTATTGAGTCCCGGTAATTTGCTCTGCAATTCCAGTTTGCAGTCCCTCCTCTCCGCATTCAGGAAGTAGTTTTTAAAATAAAGTGTAAATTATTTCTGGCAAAAGTTAAAAGCACAGAGCACATGCAACGAAGATTTCCCAGATTCAAGAATCAGGATTTAGTCTCAGTACAGCAACAGCATGCAAATTACTTACAAAAATATGAAAGTTGACTACTCCATCACCAGGAAAAGGCAATTAGTTACTTGGGAGCAACCACAAAACTTCTTCCTACAAAGTCTGCAGTTCTTTCTCCGACTTCCTTCAGCTGTGTAAGTGCTACAGTAAGGCCCAAAACAGTGGTCTATATTTAGTGTTTAGTCAAGCAATGTAAGATTTGAAAGACTGGCTTTTCCCATGTCTAATGTTTTCTGTAAATATATTACTGAAGCTACGCCTTAAAACCACACACACACACACACACACACACCCAGAAAACACGGAGCCCTGACGCAGTTGGTAACTGACAAGACTCTTACTAGACCCAAGAAGGGTCTTGTTTAGCTGAAGAGAGGGTAAAGTGACACCGTTTCCTGCACTTGGCCCACAGTAGTCAGGATATAAATATCCTGCAGCAGGCAGATGCCAGTGACCACCCACTGGCAAGGACTCTGACCCAACCCAGCACTGCAACACAGGGACAGCACTGTTGACATCAGGATTACGCTGATGGTAGATGTTTTCATAACAAAGTACCTGAACTAAACCAGCTTTCAAAGAGGAAAGGCAGGTTTTTTGTAGCATAGCTTCAGGGGTCTCACTCCACGGTCACCTGGCCCTGCTGCCCACAGGCCTGTGGCGAAGGGGAACAGCAAGGCACATGAGGGAGAACAGCGTGTTTCAGGAAGCAAAGAGCAAGACCACCCAGGGCCATGCCAGGGATGACCTACTCCCTTCAGCCAGGCCTCACCTCCCAAAGGGGTCACCACCTCCTGCTGGTAGCATGGCTAGTGGCCAAGTCTTCAGCACAGTGGTCACTTTGGCACTGGAGGCGGGGGGTATAGTGATGCCTGCCTCAGTAGGACTCACTGATGAGAATCCAACAGCCCTGCAGAACTTAGGCTTAAGATCTGGAGGCAACACAGAGAGCTAATCACATGTAGGTAACATTTTTCAAAAATAAAAGGCAATACAAGAATGGAAATTTCTGTTAAAATATCCCAGGAAAAAAAAAAAAAAAAAAAGAAAAAAGGCCCAAGGCTCAATTCCAAGTTCCAGTACCTCACACAGCTCCACATCAAATAAAAAGTTGGTGGGGGAGGCTGGCAAGATAGCTCAGCAAGACCCAGTCCTAGCCCAGGTCCGGTGAGTGTGTGGAGAGCTTCCTGCTACCCTGCGCCGGCGGGACCAGTCCCAGCCCAGGCGCAGCATGGGCAGG